AGTCCTGGATTCGGGAGTCGACGACGGACGGCCCCGTCGACGTCGAAGCGGTGGCGCTATGGTTTCGCGGGGCGATGACGCAGATCTGCGACGCGTCCATGCCCCGTGTCCACCAACGGTCCGCAAGGCGCCAGGTGTACTGGTGGACCGCCGAGATCGCGCAATTGCGCATAGCGTGCGTTGCGGCTCGTCGCCGGTACACCCGATACCGGAGGCGGCGTCGACGGGATCCCGCCGAGGAGGACGCGCTGTATGAGGTGTACCGCGCGTCTAAGGAGACTCTGTGGCTGGCCATCGGCGACTCAAAGTCGCGTGCCAGGGAAGAGCTGCTGGGATCCCTAGATCGGGATCCGTGGGGGCGCCCCTACCGTTGGGTACGGGGCAAGTTGCGTCCCTGGGCGCCTCCACTAACACAAACTATGCAACCCCAGTTGCTAGAGGCGGTGGTATCGGCTCTCTTCCCTGAGCGAGTGGGACACGTTCCCCCGGCGATGGCTTCGCCCTCAGCCACAGACTCTCCAGAAGAGGAGAGCACCGACGTCCCCGAGGTGACGCAAACAGAGACGAGAGCGGCCGTGTCGCGACTCCGGGCTAAGAACACAGCGCCCGGACCCGACGGAGTTCCTGGTCGAGCTCTCGTCCTGGCTCTGAAGGAGCTAGAGCCCCAGCTGAGAGGGCTCTTCACGGCATGTCTCGAGCAGGGTCAGTTTCCCAGTGTGTGGAAGGAGGGGAGGCTGGTCCTGCTCAGGAAGGAGGGGCGCCCCGCGGACTCACCGTCCGCGTACCGGCCCATAGTGCTGCTCGACGAGGCGGGCAAACTTCTTGAGCGCATCATCGCAGATCGCCTCGTCAGCCACTTGTGCAGAGAGGGGCCGGACCTGGATGAGAACCAGTTTGGTTTTCGTCGCGGGCGCTCCACCATAGACGCTATTACGCGCGTGAGGGCCCTGGCGGAGGAGACAGTATCCCGGGGTGGGGTGGTGCTGGCGGTGTCCTTAGACATCTCCAACGCCTTCAACACCCTACCCTGGAGTTGTATTCGGGAGGCGCTGAATTACCATCGCGTGCCTCCCTACCTCCGCCGCACAATATGGGCTTACCTTGAGGAGAGATGCGTTACCTATTGGGGACGTGACGGCGCTGGTCGGCGCGTCATGTCGTGCGGTGTTCCGCAGGGATCGGTCTTGGGACCGCTCCTGTGGAACATCGGCTACGACTGGGTGCTGAGAGGTGAACTCCCGTCGGGCGCCGACTTGACGTGTTATGCGGACGACACGCTCGTCACTGCCCGGGGGAGTTCACACAGGGAAGCAGCGTTGGTTGCCACGGCTGCGGTGTCACAAGTGGTGAACCGCATCCGGCGCCTGGGCCTGGAGGTGGCCCTAAATAAGTCGGAGGCCATGGTGTTCCATGGCCCTCGACGCGCGCCGCCGCCGGGTTCACACATCGTGGTCAGCGGGGCCCGGATAGCTGTCGAGTCCACCATGAAGTATCTGGGATTGGTGCTCGACAGCCGATGGGAATTCGGACCCCACTTCCGGCGGCTGGCGCCCAAGCTGATGGGTGCAGCGGGCGCGCTATCAACGTTGCTTCCCAACTTGGGGGGCCCGAGCGCCGCCTGTAGGCGGTTGTACGTGGGAATCGTGCGGTCCATGGCCCTGTATGGGGCCCCTGTGTGGGCGATGGACATGACGGCCAGCACTCTCGCCATTCTGCGTAAACCGCAGAGGGCGATGGCCGTCAGAGTCGTCCGCGGGTATCGCACGATTTCCTACGAGGCGGCTTGCGTCCTGGCCGGATCCCCGCCCTGGGACCTAGAGGCGAAAGTACTCGCGTCATTATATCGATGGCGCGAGGAAGAGCGGGCACGGGGCTCGAGGCTGGTGCAGCGGCAGATCGCGCTGCGCCGAGAGGAGCTCCGTCAGGTCTTGGTGGCGGAATGGCGGCAAAGGCTTCTGCGCCCTACCGCCGGCCTCGCTACCGTCGAGGCGATCCGGCCAGTACTCGACGATTGGCTCGGGAGAAGGCACGGCTCCCTGTCGTTTAGGGTGACGCAGGTGCTGTCGGGGCATGGCTGCTTCGGCAAGTACCTGCGCCGCATAGACAGGGAGCCGGACGCTCGGTGTCACCACTGCGTCCATTGCGGGGAGGACACGGCGCAACACACGCTCGCCGAGTGTGTAGCTTGTGAGGAGCAGCGCCGTGTCCTCACAAATAAAGTAGGAGGCGATCTGTCGCTGCCGGCCTTAGTGCAGAAGATGGTCGGTAGTGCAGAGTCGTGGGATGCAGTGGTGTCCTTCTGCGAGGACGTGATGTCGCAGAAGGAAACTGCGGAACGGGAAAGGGAGATCTCGACTCCCTTTCCTGGCCGCAGAAGGCGCACCGGGCGCAGGAGAAGGGCGGACAACGCCCTTTTCCGGCCCCCATAAATGGATCCAGGGGCGAGGGACTTGGGGAAGCCCCCGCCACCCCTACTCGATGGACCCGAGGCGGAGGCGCGCGCAGGTGTCGGTGCGCGCCCCTGAGGCGATACACGGGGTAGTTTAACACCTCACTACCCCGTGCAGGAGACGAGGCCTGGACGGACCGGGCCAGCACTAGTGTGGGGCTGCGGAAGAATTTGGATTCCCGCGGCCCCACGCGCACGTGTGAGGAGACACCGGGGTGGTTTTAGCCGGTAAGAGTCCGGCACGCCCCTCCGCCTTTCCCCAGGCGGAGGTAGTCCATGAGGATTTCCCCCCGTAAAAAAAAAAAAAAAAAAAGGTTAGGTTAGGTTAGGTTAGGTTAGGTTAGGTTCCCCCCCGAACGGGTTCCCGCCTTGTCGTGGCGGGGGGGCTTAGTAGCCGTGGCTTGGTCAACCACGGTGAACAAAGAGGAACCCCTTGGCTGGCCCGTGGTGTAGGGCCGGCCCGAGGTGGCCACTCCGAGTGGGCTTGGGAAGCCCACTTCGGATGTGTGTCGGTGGGATGCTGCGAGAGGGGTGTCCGCTCCCTGTATCGATGCAGCCGAGGTGGAGTCGCGGAGGAGGAGGCGTGCTGGTATGGCGATGCGCCACTCGCCCTATCCTCCGCGACTCAGACGGGGCCGCACCGTTGAGTGATGCGGTGGTGGTGGGGCTGCGGGGGGAGAGGAGTGTCGGTATTGCGAGGCGCCGCTCTCCCTACCCTCCGCAGCCGAATCTCGGTTGGCGGCAGAGCCATAGACCAGATCCGCCGCTGGGGCCAGGAAGACCGGTGCTTCTGAGTGCTAGTTTTTCCTGGCCCCATGGCCTTCGCGCATCGGACACGGGGGCGTCCGTTGCGCATTGGAAATTGGAGGCCGAGGAGGAGGGCGCGCCATGTGTTCTGGTGCGCCTTACCTGAGAGGGAGATGGAGGAGCAGTCCTCTCCCGAGGAGGGGCCGCCATGGGGCGGCCAGCACAGGTGGGGCCGCGGAAGTGTGCGAAAGCGTTCCCGTGGCCCTGCCAATATGCGACGAGTGTGGAACACCATGGGGTTTTAGTCGGTGCGAGTCCGACATAACCCGTCCTTGCCCCCGCGAGGCGGGTATGCGTAGGCATTTCCCCATGTAAAAAAAAAAAAAAAAGTTAGGTTAGGTTAGGTTAGGTTAGGTTCCCCCCCGAACGGGTTCCCGCCTTGTCGTGGCGGGGGGGCTTAGTAGCCGTGGCTTGGTCAACCGCGGTGAACGAAGAGGAACCCCTTGGCTGGCCCGAGGTGTAGGGCCGGCCCGAGGTGGCCGCTCCGGGTGGGCTTTGCGAGCCCGCTTCGGATGTGTGTCGGGGGGCTGCGGTGAGAGGGGGGTCCGCACCCTCTACCGCTGCAGCCGAGGTAGAGTCGCGGAGGAAGAGGAGTGTTGGTATGGCGATGCGCCACTCGCCCTATCCTCCGCGACTCTGACGGGGCCGCACCGTTAAATGATGCGGTGGTGGTGGGGCTGCGGGGGAGAGGAGTGTCGGTATTGCGAGGCGCCGCTCTCCCTACCCTCCGCAGCCGAATCTTGGTTAGCGGCGGAGCCATAGACCAGATCCGCCGCTGGGGTCGGGAAGGCTGGTGCTTCTGAGTGCTAGTTTTTCCTGGCCCCATGGCCTTCGCGCATCGGACACGGGGGCGTCCGTTGCGCATACGAAATTGGAGGCCGAGGAGGAGGGCGCGCCATGTGTTCTGGTGCGCCTTACCTGAGAAGGAGATGGGGGAGGAGTGGTCCTCTCCTGAGGAGGGGCCGCCATGGGGCGGCCAGCGCAGGTGGGGCCGCGGAAGTGTGCGAAAGCGTTCCCGTGGCCCTGCCAATATGCGACGAGGGTGGAACACCATGGGGTTTTAGTCGGTGCGAGTCCGACATAACCCGTCCTTGCCCCCGCGAGGCGGGTATGCGTAGGCATTTCCCCATGTAAAAAAAAAAAAAAAAAAGGTTAGGTTAGGTTAGGTTAGGTTAGGTTTTTTTTTTTTTTTTTTTTTTATACTTTGGTCCTGCTGTTTTTTATTTTACAGCACCCTTTATTTCTTATTAAGTTATATCTTTTTTCTTTGATGCAGATTTTTTTTTTTTTGTGTATTCCGTTATATTACAATTACATTGTGGTATTACGTTTACATTTATATATTTTAATGCCCTCGTATATATAGTATTGTATATAAAGTATATCTCTACTTATTGTTACATGACTACTTATATCTTTAATGATGACAGTACTGCTTCTACATTATTTACTGTGACTACTTCTTAAGCGTATTCATTCTAATATTTATTATGTCTTTATTTACCCTAGGTTAAATGTTACTTATCTACTGTGACTATCTTCCTAAGAGTACTTTTCTAATATTTATTATACATATCTTATTTTCATTTAACAATGTTTTAAGAAATTGCTACATGACTACTTTAAATGACTATAATGATAACAGCTATAATGATGAAAATATTACTTCTACACTTTTTACCTAAGGTTAACTGTTCCTTATCTACCGTAACTAACTTCTTAAACGTACTTATTCTAACATTTATTATGTCTTATTTTCTTTAACAATTTTTTCTACACTACTTATTGCGAATTTAAAAAAGTGAGTTCGGCTGTCATTGTTGTTAATAGCTCTGTTTAGAGTTTCTTCTTGTAGCACAAAGCCCATACGCAGTTCACATTCCAGTCTTGCTAATTGAAATTTAGGACAGTCTATAAGAATATGTTCGATTGTTTGTGAAGTTTGGTTATCACAACTGCAGTAGGGGCTTTCCGCCAATTTGAATCTAAATAGGTAGGCTTTAAAGCCTCCATGACCTGTCAATATTTGTGATATTAAGTTATTAACATTAATTTTTTCAATTGTTTTATATGATTCTGTTACATCTGGAAAAAATCTTCTTGTAACAACTCCTGTTTCAGCCTTCGTATATCGTTCTTGCCATGTATTTATAGTGTTGTCCCTGAGTTGGCGCTTTGCGTAGGACAGCGGGAAGCAATCATAAACTGGTGCTTGTTTGGACGTTTCTGCTGCTAACTTAGCCAATTCATCTGCTCTTTCATTTCCCAAGATGCCACAATGTGCCTTAATCCAATACAGTTTTACATCGCCCCGGTTGTTTCGAATTTCATTAATTTTGGTCAAAATTTCTGCTGCTATGGGATGGACAGTGCTTGGGGTTAGGTTAGGTTAGGTTAGGTTAGGTTAGGTTAGGTTCCCCCCCGAACGGGTTCCCGCCTTGTCGTGGCGGGGGGGCTTAGTAGCCGTGGCTTGGTCACCCACGGTGAACAAAGAGGAACCCCTTGGCTGGCCCGTGGTGTAGGGCCGGCCCGAGGTGGCCACTCCGAGTGGGCTTGGCGAGCCCACTTCGGATGTGTGTCGGGGGGCTGCGGTGAGAGGGGAGTCCGCACCCTCTACCGCTGCAGCCGAGGTGGAGTCGCGGAGGAAGAGGAGTGTTGGTATGGCGATGCGCCACTCGCCCTATCCTCCGCGACTCAGACGGGGCCGCACCGTTAATGATGCGGTGATGGTGGGGCTGCGGGGGGAGAGGAGTGTCGGTATTGCGAGGCGCCGCTCTCCCTACCCTCCGCAGCCGAATCTTGGTTGACGGCGGAGCCATAGACCAGATCCGCCGCTGGGGCCAGGAAGGCCGGTGCTTCTGAGTACTAGTTTTTCCTGGCCCCATGGCCTTCGCGCATCGGACTCGGGGGCGTCTGTTGCGCATTGTAAATTGGAGGCCGAGGAGGAGGGCGCGCCATGTGTTCTGGTGCGCCTTACCTGAGAAGGAGATGGGGGAGGAGTAGTTCTCTCCCGAGGAGGGGCCGCCATGGAGTGGCCAGCGCAGGTGGGGCCGCGGAAGTGTGCGAAAGCGTTCCCGTGGTCCTGCCAATATGCGACGAGGGTGGAACACTATGGGGTTTTAGTCGGTGCGAGTCCGACATAACCCGTCCTTGCCCCCGCGAGGCGGGTATGCGTAGGCATTTCCCCATGTAAAAAAAAAAAAAAAAAAGGTTAGGTTAGGTTAGGTTAGGTTAGGTTAGGTTAGGTTAGGTTCCCCCCCGAACGGGTTCCCGCCTTGTCGTGGCGGGGGGGCTTAGTAGCCGTGGCTTGGTCAACCACGGTGAACGAAGAGGAACCCCTTGGCTGGCCCGAGGTGTAGGGCCGGCCCGAGGTGGCCACTCCGAGTGGGCTTGGGAAGCCCACTTCGGATGTGTGTCGGGGGGCTGCGGTGAGAGGGGAGTCCGCAACCCTCTACCGCTGCAGCGAGGTGGAGTCGCGGAGGAAGAGGAGTGTTGGTATGGCGATGCGCCACTCGCCCTATCCTCCGCGACTCAGACGGGGCCACACCGTCAATTGATGCGGTGGTGGTGGGGCTGCGGGGGGAGAGGAGTGCCGGTATTGCGAGGCGCCGCTCTCCCTACCCTCCGCAGCCGAATATTGGTTGGCGGCGGAGCCATAGACCAGATCCGCCGCTGGGGTCGGGAAGGCTGGTGCTTCCTAGTGCTAGTTTTTCCTGGCCCCATGGCCTTCGCGCATCGGACGCGGGGGCGTCCGTGGCGCATATGAAATTGGAGGCCGAGGAGGAGGGCGCGCCATGTGTTCTGGTGCGCCTTACCTGAGAGGGAAATGGGGGAGGAGTGGTCCTCTCCCGGAAGGGGCCGCCATGGGGCGGCCAGCGCAGGTGGGGCCGCGGAAGTGTGCGAAAGCGTTCCCGTGGCCCTGCCAATATGCGACGAGGGTGGAACACCATGGGGTTTTAGTCGGTGCGAGTCCGACATAACCCGTCCTTGCCCCCGCGAGGCGGGTATGCGTAGGCATTTCCCCATGTAAAAAAAAAAAAAAAAAAAAAAAGAAAAGGTTAGGTTAGGTTAGGTTAGGTTTTTTTTTATTTTTTTTTTGTCTAATGGTCCTCTGATGTGGTGGTCAGAGCCTTTGTATATCTTGGTTTAATCTCTGGGTTGGACTGGTCCATAAATTTTTTTTTTTGTCATGTTCATTGTAGTCATGATGTAGGTCAATTGTTTATTTTACACTATTTTTTTTTCTTTAACTATCTATTTATATTATTATTTTATAAATATCTATTCTTGTCTATCGTACTATTTATTTTTATGTGAATATATGATGTTATTTGTTTGTTTATATAATGCATACTAATAGCGTTACTGCATTTTTTGATTGTAATTATTACTGTTTCATGGCATTTACACTCCAAATTATTTCTATCTGATGTCTTGCATTTGACTTATCTTATACAGAATTTCGTATGCATAGATGATATATTACGTAGTAATATATTCTATCCATTTTTCTTACTTCTATATATATTTTTTAATATCTTTATTATTTACCTAGGTTTTATTTTTTATTTTCACCTGTCTTACTATATATTCACAGAATTTATTAAAATCTTTTCTTTCAGTTTTCCTTGTTAAAATATCCGAAATATTTGTTTGTGTAATCTTTATATTTATTTTCTGTTCTAGGTCAATCCTTTTACTGCTGTACACTGGGCAGTCTACGAGCAAGTGCATCACAGTTTCTTCTACCTCTGGGTCACAGGCACATCCAGCGCTTGTCCTACACTTGAAGCGATTTAGGACCCTGCAAAGGCACCGTGTCCAGTAAGTATTTGCACTAGTTCAGGTGATGGTCTAATTTTTCTTATTAATTTGTACGCTGTTTCGGCATTTTTGAGGAACATTTTGGTAGTCGTAGCTGTTTCACTATTTATGTATCGCTGGTTCCATTCCTGCACTGATCTTTCCCTTATCGTTCGTTTTATGAACGATATGGGGCATCTGTCATATTGGGATGCTGTTTTTTTGTATAGTGCCGCTTCTTTTGCCAGGTGATCTGCTCTTTCATTTCCTTGATGTCCCACATGAGCCCTAATCCAAAATAACTTTACCGTTTTGTTATTATTATTTATAATCATTAAATTTTTTCTAGTGGCGCGGACTAATGGGTGGAAGTTGTCCGGGGATTTCAATGAGTGCAGTCCTGACTGGGAGTCGCTGTAGATATGGAAGACACTGTCCTTATGTTTCATCATAAGTTCTGTGGCTTGGTACATTGCGTAAAGTTCGGCTTGGAAAACTGTGCAGAAGGATTCCAGCTTAAATTTTTTACTTAAAATTTCAGTGTTGTCCTTCCACACAGATAACGCTGCCCCTACCTTCCCGTCAATTTTACTCCCATCGGTGTATATCTGTACCGCCTCTAGCTGTTCTTTTGTTGCTTCCATCTCTTCCGGTTGTTTACCTTCTATTGTGCTAAAAGTTATTTCTTCTTCTTTAGCTGGATGGTCGGCTTCAATAAAGAGTTCCTTTACTTCGACTTTTCTGTCCCCCAGGATATCCTCCTGCGGTTTCCCGCGCTTTGCTTCATACAGCCTTGCAGCTTCCCGCAAGCGGATATCCAGAGGTAACAGTCCCGTTAATATGAGTGCCGAATTCAGCGATACGGTTCTGTAAGCTTTGCAAATTTTTTGTGCGAAGCCCCTCTGCAGGGTGTTAAGATGTTTTTGTATAGATATTTTTTGTGATGCACTTGCCCAGACACTGGCTGCATAGAGCACGATCGGCTCGACGACTGAAACATATATCGTCCTGATGATCTCCGAACTCAATCCCCAAGAAATTTTTGCTGTCTTTACTAAATGTTTATATATATTTGTAACCTTTCGACATATATGTACAACATGACTATGGAAGGTTAATTTTTTGTCTATTATAAGGCCTAATAATTTAATTTCGTCTACAATTTTTATGTTTGTTCCTCCCATGTGGAGTTGAGGTGTGTCGTATTTAAGTTTTCTGGTAATTATTATTGCATTGGTTTTGTGTGCAGCAAAACCAAGTTTGTTACGCACACCCCAATCATGCACAAGGGCGAGTGTTCTATTAGCTTTTTCTTCAATTTTGGGGAATTTTTGTCCAGAGAACACCAGGACGACATCATCGGCAAAGGCTTGACAGTAAACTTCTTCACTGTCCATCAAGTCCAACAAAGGGTCCAGTAGCAGATTCCAAAACGTGGGCCCTGCAATTGATCCCTGCACGCATCCTTTTGATGTAAATTTATCAATTTCTTTATCTGCGTATCGTAACTTTATTTTGCGGTTTTCGAAGTAACTATTAACGATTTACCGGAGGTTTTGGGGACACTTTTTCTCTAATAGCTGGCATTTTATGGCAGGCCACCAAGCATTGTCGAAAGCTCCCTGTATGTCTAGAGATATTATTAAGTTTATCTTTTTGTCTTTGAGATTTACTCTTATGTGTTGTAGCAGATCATACAGGGAGTCTTCCGTACTTCGCTGAGGCACAAACCCATATTGTCTTGGATTACTTTTCAGCAAAATGTGCCATCGTATTCTCTTAACTATCAGTTTTTCTAATATTTTACCTAATATTGAAAGTAATCCAATAGGTCTATAGGCCTTGGGGTGGGTATAGTCGCTTTTACCGGGTTTTTTGAGAACTATTACAATGGCTGCCTTCCATGGTGTTGGGTAGTGAGTGAGCTGCAAACATTTGTTGACAATTGTCAAAAAAAGTTCTTCATTTGTTCCTATTGCTGCAGTACAAATATCCATTGTAAAACCATCAGGTCCAGGTGCCTTCTTCATGCTAAAACTTTCCATAACGTTTCTTAGTTCAGCTTCAGTAAATGGTGGATCCTGGGTGTCATTTGGTAGGTATTCGTGTATTTTTTTAGCTTTTTCTCTCGTTTCCTTTTGTTCAGCATTGTCGGTAGTACAGTCATCTGCTGGGAAAAAACTATCTGCTAACCAAGCCGCTGATTCGTCGGGACATAAAGCCTTTCCATCATTCACTAATAGCTGATCTTGTTGCCTTTTTGTTGTTTTTCTAATCACTCTATAAATTTTATCCCAGAAACTTTCCCTATCCTGATTTGTACAGTACTCCTTCCAACTATTTGTTTGTGCACTAATTGCCTCTTTTTCATATTTCATTTTTGCTTCCAGGTATTGCTGTACTACGTGTTCTCTTCTATGCCATGCAGCGCATCGGATCCTTCTACGTTTCGTTATCATCGCCTTCTTCAGTTCTTCCAGTTCTCTACTCCACCATGGTAAGGATGTTCTTTCTTTTATTTTTAGTTTAGGAATACTTTTTTCACATGCTTTATTTATACCCTCAATATATGTGGCTATAATGCTTTCCAAAGCCTCCTTTGATACAATTTTGCCAACTTGAACTGCCTCAATTCTATTTTCTTCTAGATAATTTTTAAATATTATTTTAAAATCTGTCCAATTAGCTTTTTTAGTGTTATAAATTCTGGTTGTTAAAGTTCTTTTTTCTTGCGGTTTGTCTAAATTGATGGAAAAAACTATAGCATTATGATCTGAACTTATTAAATCCTTATCTACCCTCCAATCTTGAATATGCTTAAGTAAGCTTTCATTACATACTGTTATGTCTACATGACTTGTGTATAATTTGCCCCCTCTAATTGTATCAAAGGTAGGCTCTGTTCCTACATTTAGTATATGTAATCCCATTTCATCCAATGCCTCCTGTAATGCCACCCCTCGATGATCTATTGAAGTGCTTCCCCACCACGTATTCCACGCGTTAACATCTCCTCCAATTAATATATATTTAGCTGTTAGATTGTTGACTATTTTTTCAATTTGTTTAAGATATGGTTCTATAGGTAAATGATCTTCAAAATATATTGATATTGCTCCTATTGTCCACTTATCAGTTTGTAAAATGGCAACTACAATGTTTTCCGTAACCAAATTGGGGTCTTCTATTATTTTAATATTCGAATCGAAAACAAATATAGCTGCTTTGTTCGGCTTTTCTTTCCTTCGGCATTGTACTATTCTACTACCTGGCGGTTGCTGTACTTCTCCTGTAGCAGCTGTGTAATGTTCTTGTACTAAGGCTATCTGGATGTTTTTACTAAGTGCTTCAATAAATACCTCTTGTGTAGCTAGCTTTTTTCGTTGTAGGTTTATTTGTATAAATTTATATTCCCGCTTACTTGGATTTCCGTGCAGGGATTGCGTCAATTTGGAGTTAACTTTCTCGTCTTAACAGTAGGCTACGCTAGATCTTGCAATTGCGTCCCACTTTTTACGTATAGGACATCTGTCATCGAAGCTGTTATGGTCGGTTTTTTCGTTTTTGGCCAGGTGACAGTTTCGGCACGTGGGTACATCTCCTGAAAGCCATCCTGGGCAGTCCGCTCTTAAATGCGGTCCAGAACAGTGGCTACACAGTGCAATAGACTCCTTACACAGTTTGCTTCCGTGACCGTATCCAAGACATTTTGAACACTGCACCAGCGGTGATTGATCCTGAACTCGTACCCTTTGTAGATCGATTTGGATACGACCTATTTTTGTCATGCGTTGCCAAACTTTAGGAGAGACCTGTAGGACTATGTGATTCTCATGTGGGTTTCGTGCTTTTTTCCTGTACCTAACAGATATACGAAGTTCTTCTGGCTCTAAGTTTTCGATGACATGTTTGTTTTGATTTTCGATTGCTTTAATAACATCCTCGTCTGAATTATACGTCAATACATCTTTTAATATTATAAGCGGATCTTTGTTCTTCGTTTCTTCTATGTTCAATGTTTGTTCTGAATTTTCAATTTTTTCTCTTAACTTTTTAAGATCTTCTTTTGACTCACAGCTTAAGATTACTTTCTGTTCTTTCGCTTTCCTTACTCTATCTACACGGATACCAGAAGATTTTGCGTCCACTGCCTCTCTTATTTTGTTAATGACTACTTGGCTGGTGCCATTATCACTTTTTGATGAAACAATGATTGAGTGCATTGACGCATAAGTCGTTGTTTGAGACCGACGGGCCACAATGTCGGCATATGTATAATTGCCAGTTTCTTTTTTCACGTTTAAATCATTTTGGATGTGTTCCATTTGATGTCCTAATTTTTTCAGCTCGATGCTCGATTCATCAATAGCCAGTCCATTTTTTATTATTTGCGCTAAAATTTCTCTAGTCGCTTGTCCGTCATTTACACCTATTTGCATTCCGCTAATTTTATTAGCAACGTCCTGTGTCAAAATTTGCCTAATGGATGCTAACTCTTTTGAAATGTCCCTGGCCGCTCCCTTTGCATCTGCTCCACTGGACGTTTCCAAAAGACCCTCCAACTTATCAACGTGCTCTTTTTCCTTTCTTAGCAGTTCCTCCTTTGCACTTAGTTTAGCTTTTTCAAGCTGGAGTTGCAACGTCTGGCGGGATTCACTCATGCGTAATATTATCTCATACATACCAGTTATTCCGAATAAAACCTTTTCTTTAATAGATGTTTTAAGGTTTCCTGACTGTTCTAGTTGCGCTTTTGTATCTTGCAAAAGCTTGTTTGCTGCAGCCGTTAAAGTCGCTAAAGGCATTGTCGAAAAGTTAACTGGAGTATCGTGTGTTCCGCTTTGAATATTATCTGACTTATCTTCGCTTGCTGATGTGCTTTGTAACAGCGCTCGCTTACGCATATCAACAGTTCCAGCTGAGGGTCTATGGGCCATTCTTTTTTAATAATGCAAACGTCAGCAAATATAAATTTACCTAATATTTAAATCTCGGTATTTAACTTTCTTAAAATTTTGCTATTTTCTACGTTTATTGTTGCAGATTTTGGCTGATACGGCGGTTTTGGAGCAAGGTGGACCAGACAGGAGCAAAAGCGGAAGATATTTGTAAGATTTTAATATAGACGAAAAATTTTGATATATTACGTTTCTCAAAAACAATAATTTTTTAATTTAAATTAGAAATATCGCCCGAAATGGCTTGAAAACACTGTAAACTAATAAAACTAGACTGATTAAATATTTCAGGATAACCAGGGAGTTTTTACAACGTTTTAATGCAAAGTTGTAAGGTAGGTTAGGTTAGGTTAGGTTAGGTTAGGTTAGGTTCCCCCCCGAACGGGTTCCCGCCTTGTCGTGGCGGGGGGGCTTAGTAGCCGTGGCCTGGTCAACCACGGTGAACAAAGAGGAACCCCTTGGCTGGCCCGTGGTGTAGGGCCGGCCCGAGGTGGCCACTCCGAGTGGGCTTGGGAAGCCCACTTCGGATGTGTGTCGGTGGGATGCTGCGAGAGGGGTGTCCGCTCCCTCTATCGCAGCAGCCGAGGTGGAGTCGCGGAGGAGGAGGCGTGCTGGTATGGCGATGCGCCACTCGCCCTATCCTCCGCGACTCTGACGGGGCCGCACCGTTAATGATGCGGTGGTGGTGGGGCTGCGGGGGGAGAGGAGTTTCGGTATTGCGAGGCGCCGCTCTCCCTACCCTCCGCAGCCGAATCTCGGTTGGCGGCGGAGCCATAGACCAGATCCGCCGCTGGGGCCAGGAAGGCCGGTGCTTCTGAGTGCTAGTTTTTCCTGGCCCCATGGCCTTCGCGCATCGGACACGGGGGCGTCCGTTGCGCATTGGAAATTGGAGGCCGAGGAGGAGGGCGCGCCATGTGTTCTGGTGCGCCTTACCTGAGAAGGAGATGGGGGAGGAGTGTTCCTCTCCCGAGGAGGGGCCGCCATGGGGCGGCCAGCGCAGGTGGGGCCGCGGAAGTGTGCGAAAGCGTTCCCGTGGCCCTGACAATATGCGACGAGTGTGGAACACCATGGGGTTTTAGTCGGTGCGAGTCCGACATAACCCGTCCTTGCCCCCGTGAGGCGGGTATGCGTAGGCATTTCCCCATGTAAAAAAAAAAAAAAAAAAAAAAAAAAGGTTAGGTTAGGTTAGGTTAGGTTATGTTAGGTTAGGTTAGGTTAGGTTAGGTTAGGTTAGGTTAGGTTAGGTTAGGTTAGGTTAGGTTAGGTTAGGTTAGGTTAGGTTAGGTTAGGTTAGGTTAGGTTAGGTTAGGTTAGGTTAGGTTAGGTTAGGTTAGGTTAGGTTAGGTTAGGTTAGGTTAGGTTAGGTTAGGTTAGGTTAGGTTAGGTTAGGTTAGGTTAGGTTAGGTTAGGTTAGGTTAGGTTAGGTTAGGTTAGGTTAG